CCACTGCTACACACACACCTACCCTTAGCACACACCTACCCCTGCCACACACCTACCCTTGCTACACATCTACCCTGCCACACACACCCACCACTGCCACACACACCTACCACTGCCACACACCCACCCCTGCCACACACCCACCCCTTGCTACACATCTACCCTTGCCACACACACCTACCACTGCCACACACCTACCCCCACACACCCCACCCCCTCCACACACCTACCTTGCCACACATCTACCCTTGCCACACCTACCCCTGCCACACACCTACCCTTGCCACACACCTACCCCACACACCTACCCTGCCACACACCTACCCCTTGCCACACACCTCACCACTGCCACACACACCTACCCTACACACATCTACCCCTGCTACACACCTACCACTGCCACACACCTACCCTTGCTGCTACACACTCCTACCCCCACACACCTACCCCTGCCACACACACATCTACCCCTGCCACACACCTACCACTGCCACACACCTACCCTTGCCACACACATCTACCCCTGCCACACACCTACCCCTGGCACACACCTACCCTTGCCACACACTCACCCCCTGCCACACACCTACCCTTGCCACACATCTACTCCTGCTACACACCTACCCCCTGCCACACACCTACCCTTGCCACACACACACCCACCCCTTGCCACACACCTACCACTGCCACAATCACCTACCCTGCCACACATCTACCCTTACACACACCTACCCCTGGCACACACCTACCTCTTGCCACACACCTACCCCTGCCACACACCTACCCTTGCCACACACATCTACACCCTCAGCACACACCTACCACTGCCACACACCCACCCCTTGCCACACACCCCACCCCTGCCACACATCTACCACTGCCACACATCTACCCTGCCACCACATCTACCCCCTAGCACACACCTACCCCCTGCCACACATCTACACCCTTGCCACACATCTACCCCTTACACATCTACCCCTGCCACACATCTACCCCTGCCATACACCTAACACCCCTGCCACACACCTACCCCCCCTCAGCCACACATCTATCCCTCCACACACCTACTCACTCTGCCACACATCTACCCCTGCCACACATCTACTCCCCTGCACACACCCCCACCCCTGCCACACACACCTACCACTGCCACACACCTACCCCTGCTACACACCTACCCCCCTGCCACACACCCACCCCACACACACCCACCACTCTACACACACCCACCCTGCCACACACCCACCCCTGCCACACACCCACCCCTGCACACACCCCCTACCCCCCTGCCAACACACCCACCCCTGCCACACACCTACCCCTGCCACACACCTACCACTGCCACACACCTACTCCCCTGACACACACCTACCCCCTGCCACACACCTATACCCCCTGCCACACACCTACCCCTGCCACACATCCTACCCTTGCACACACATACCCCCTGCCACACCTACCCCCTGCCACACACCTACCCCTGCACACACCTACACTGCCACACACCCACCCCTGCCACACACCTACCCCCTGCCACACACACCCACCCCTGCCACACACCTACCCCTGCTACACACCCCACCTCCCTGCACACACACCCACCCTGCCACACACCCACCTGCCACACACACCCACCCCCTGCCACACACCCACCCCTGCCACACACCTACCCCTGCCACACACCTACCCCTGCACACAACAAACCCCCCACACACCTACCCCTGCCACACACTCTACCCCTGCCACACACCTACCCCTGCCACACACCCACCCTACACACACCTACCCCTGCCACACATCTACCCCTGCCACACACCCCACCCCTTGCCACACACCCACCCCTACCACACACCTACCCCTGCCACACACCTACCCCTGCCACACACCCACCCCTGCACACACCTCACCCCTGCCACACACCCACCCCCACACACCTACCCTGCCACACACCTACCCTGCCACACACACCTCACCCCTCCACACACCTACCCCCTGCACACACCCACCCCCTGCCACACACCCACCCTGCCACACACCCACCCCGCACACACACCCACCCCCTGCCACACACCCACCCCTGCCACACACCTACCCCTGCCACACACCTACCCCTGCCACACACCTACCCCTGCCACACACACCTACCCCTGCCACACACCTACCCCTGCCACACCCACCCCTGCCACACACCTACCCCCTGCCACACACCTACCCCTGCCACACACCTACACCCTGCCACACACCCACCCCCTGCCACACACCTACCCTGCCACACACCTACACCCCTGCCACACACCCACCCCCTGCCACACACCCACCCCTGCCACACACCTACCCCTGCCACACACCCACCCCTGCCACACACCTACCCCTGCCACACACCCACCCCTGCCACACACACCTCCCCCGCACACACCTACCACTGCCACACACCTACCCCCTGCCACACACACCTACCCCCTGCCACACACCTACCCCCTGCCACACACCCACACCCCTGCCACACACACCTACCCCTGCCACACACCTACCCCTGCCACACACCTACCCCTGCCACACACACTACCCCTGCCACAACACCCTACCCCTAGCACACACCTACCCCTGCCACACACCTACCCCTGCCACACACCCACCCCCACACCTACCCCTGCCACACCCACCCCTGCACACCTACCCCTGCCACACCTACCACTGCCACCCCTCCCCTGCCACACACCCACCCCTGCCCACACACCTACCCCTGCCACACCTACCCTGCCACACCTACCCCTGCCACACACCTACCCCTGCCACACCTACCCCCCTGCCTGCCACACACCTGCCCACCCTGCCACCGCCACACACCTACCCCTGCCACACACCTCCCCTGCACACACCTACCCTGCCACACCTACCTGCCACACCCCCCTGCACCCTGCCTCCACACCTGCCCCACCCCACCCTGCTCCACACACCCTACCCACCTCCCTGCCACACACACCTACCCCTGCCACACACCCTGCCACACACCTGCCCTGCCACACACACCTGCCACACACCTGCCCCTGCCACACACTGCCCCTGCCACACACCTACCCGCCACACACCTCCCTGCCACACACCTACCCACGCCACACCTGCCCCACACCTACCCCTGCCACACCTACCCTGCCACACCTCCCCTGCCACACATCTACCCCTGCCACCTACCCCTGCCACACCCTGCCACACCTACCCTGCCACACCTGCCTGCCACACACCTACCCCTGCCACACACCTACCCCTGCCACACACCTGCCCCTGCCACACACCTACCTGCCACACACCTCCCCCTGCCACACACCTGCCTGCCACACACCTACCCCTGCCACACACACCTACCCCTGCCACACACCTACCCCCTGCCACACACCTGCCCATAACCACCCGCCACACACCTCCCCCTGCCACACACCTGCCACACCTACCCCTGCCACACACACTACCCTGCCACACTACCCCTGCCACCTCCCCTGCCACACACCTGCCTGCCAACCTACCCCGCCACACACACCTACCCTGCCACACACACCTACCCTGCCACCACCCCTGCCAGACACCTACCCCTGCCACACACCTACCCCTGCCACACACCTACCCCTGCCACACACCTACCCCCTGCCACACACCTACCCCTGCACACACCTACCCCTGCCACACACCTACCACTGCCACACACCTACCCCTGCCACACACCTACCCCTGCCACACACCTGCCCTGCCACACCTACCCCTGCCACACACACCTCCTGCCACACACTACCCCTGCACACACTCCCACCCACCTACCCTGCCACACACACCTGCCTACACACTACCCCTGCCACACACCTACCCCTCTCACACCTACCCCTGCCACACCTACCCCTGCCACACACCTACCCCTGCCAGACACCCCACCCCTGCCACACACCTACCCCTGCCACACACCTACCCCTGCCACACACCTGCCTGCCACACACCTACCCCTGCAGACACTGCCACCCGCCACACACCTACCCCTGCCACACCTACCCCCACACACCTACCTGCCACACACCTACCCCTGCCTACCCCTGCCACACACCCTACCCCTGCCACACACCTACCCCTGCCACACACCTGCCACACACACCTACCCCTGCCACACACACACCTCACCCCTGCCACACACCTCCCCACACCTACCCTGCCACACCTACCCCTGCCACACACCACCCTGCCACACCTACCCTGCCACACACCTACCCCTGCCACACACCTACCCCTGCCACACACCTACCCTGCCACACACACCCCTCCCCTGCCACACACCTACCCTGCCACACCTACCCCTGCCCACACCTACCCCTGCCACACCTACCCCTGCCACACCTCACCTACCCTACACACACCTACCCCTGCCACACACCTACCCCTGCCACACACCTACCCTACACACCTACCCCTGCCACACCTTACCCCTGCCACACACCTACCCTGCCACACCTCCCTGCACACCTACCCGCTGCACCCTGCCACACCTACCCTGCCACACCTTACCCTGCCCTACCCCTGCCCACCACACCCTACCCCCTGCCACACACCTACTGCCACACACCTACCCTGCCACACCCTGCCACACCTACCCCTGCCACACACCTACCTGCCACACCTACCCCTGCCACACCTTACCCTGCCACACCTGCCCTGCACACCTACCCCTGCCACCTACCCTGCCACACCTACCCCCTGCCACCTCCCTGCCCACCCCACCCTACCCCTGCCCACACACCTACCCCCTGCCACACACACCTACCCTGCCACACACCTACCCCTGCCACACCTACCCCTGCCCACACACCTACCCCCACACCTACCCACACACCCCTGCCCACACCTACCCCTGCCACACACCCTACCCCTGCCCACACACCTCCCCTGCCCACACACCTACACACCCCTGCCACACCCACCACACACACCTACCCCGCCACACACCTACCCTGCACACCTACCTGTGTTTATTTAGCTGGTACTGAGGTCTCTTCATGATCAGCAGCCGAGGTAAGATGTGTATGAAGACTCTTTTGACCCATGGCGCCATCTTGTGCGTCTGGGGCGACCGGAAGTGTACGTTGAGCACCAATACCGTCACACATATACTGTAACACATAGGTATACCGTCACACATCTACTGTAACACATAGTTATACCGTCACACATATACTGTAACACATAGGTATACATACACCATACTGTAACTCATAGTTATACCGTCACACATATACTGTAACACATAGTTATACCGTCACACATATACTGTAACACATAGTTATACCGTCACACATATACTGTAACACATAGTTATACCGTCACACATATACTGTAACACATAGTTATACCGTCACACATATACTGTAACACATAGTTATACCGTCACACATATACTGTAACACATAGTTATACCGTCACACATATACTGTAACACATAGTTATACCGTCACACATATACTGTAACACATAGTTATACCGTCACACATATACTGTAACTCATAGTTATACCGTCACACATATACTGTAACACATAGTTATACCGTCACACATATACTGTAACACATAGTTATACCGTCACACATATACTGTAACTCATGGTTATGCCGTCACACATATGCTGTAACACATGGTTATGCCGTCACACATATGCTGTAACACATGGTTATGCCGTCACACATATGCTGTAACACATAGTTATGCCGTCACACATATACTGTAACACATAGTTATGCCGTCACACGAAAGATCTGTAACACATGGATTATACCATCACACATATACTGTAACTCATAGTTATGCCGTCACACACATATACTGTAACCACATAGTTATACCGTCACATATGCTGTAACCTGGATTAGCAAATCACACATATACTGTAACTCATGGTTATGCCGTCCCCGCACATAATACTGTAACACATGGTTATGCCGTCACACATATACTGTAACTCATAGTTATACCGTCACACATATACTGTAACACATAGTTATACCGTCACACATATACTGTAACACATAGTTATACCGTCACACATATACTGTAACACATAGTTATACCGTCACACATATACTGTAACACATAGTTATACCGTCACACATATACTGTAACACATAGTTATACCGTCACACATATACTGTAACACATAGTTATACCGTCACACATATACTGTAACACATAGTTATACCGTCACACATATACTGTAACACATAGTTATACCGTCACACATATACTGTAACACATAGGTATACCGTCACACATATACTGTAACACATAGTTATACCGTCACACATATACTGCAACTCATTATCATTATTATTATTATTATTATTATTATATTTTACATTTCTGTATTCATTCAGTATTAATACAGGCCAAGGAACTACTGTACTACTACTACTACTACTACTACTACTACTAGTAATAATAATAATAATAATAATAATAATAATAATAATAATAATAATAATAATAATTCCCTCCCCAGCAAAGTTTACTCTTCTACCGTGTTGTTATGGTCTGTACACCAACAGCAGGCACAACAATGCCCCAAAAAACACAACGTCACCTAATTGGAAGATTTCTTTACCGCTGAGAGACAGGTAACGGTGAAAAACAACATGAAGGTAGAGGCATGGCTAAAAAATTATACCAAACATGCTTTGTCTACATACTCGTTTCTCATTGGTCAGAGAATTAGCCAATTAGAACACGTTATTCCAGTGGTTGATACCTGTTGTTCATATTTTGATAACAACATGGAACCAGGAGGGGCGGTGAGCAGGTGGGGAGAGTTTTTAATGAACGGCCGAGATGAAAGTATTAAAAAGAGTTAATTAATGATACAGGTGAGTTAACGTGACCTCACTGTGATGAGCAGGTGAACGTGAGGTGAGGTAGGGTAGGGTAGGGTAGGGTAGATTAGTTTACGTTACGTTAGGTTAAGGTGGAATCTCACTTTCCCTTGTATAAAAATGAGAGAGAGAGAGAGAGAGAGAGAGAGAGAGAGAGAGAGAGAGAGACTGCCCCACCACCATCACCTTCAACATGTCAAATATCAGACACAAAGCTTCACTCTCCACACCCAGCCGTCACCTCTTTAATCTCTCTCTAACTCAACCTAACAAACACTTCAAATGACCTCACAAACACCTAAACATCCAAACATACAGACAACTACCACCTATCATTCTTCAACTTTACCTTATTTATGTGTTGTCAAAGTGTTAAATCGTTGTTTGAGGAGACGATAGCTGTTGCGATCATTATAGATATCGTACAAGAACAAATTATTATAGTTATTGTCTTTTACTTCACTACACGATACCTTTGAGGAGTTTGTCGTGTTTTAATTTTGTTTTCTTGTTATGTTGGTGATGATGTTGATGTTGGTGATGTTGGTGATGTTGGTGATGATGTTGATAGTGGTGTTGTGTTTTGAAATGTGTCGTTGTGTCTACTGTTATGTATATCCCCCCTCCCTTCCCCCCCTTCCTCCCCCCTCCCACACACACACATTTTGGTTCACTCTTTTTATTACCCAAAATCTCACGACAAAATAAGTGTGACGTCAAGATGTAAACAAAGAGACACCATGTTGGAAAAGTGATGTCACAATGTAAACAAAAGGACGCCATGTTGGAAAGGTGACGTCCCAATGTAAACAAACGGACGCCATGTTGGAAAGGTGACGTCCCAATGTAAACAAACGGACGCCATGTTGGAAAGGTGAGAGATGCGTCTGTGAGCTAAGATAAAATTCTAAGGTATGATTCTCACTTGATTTAAGAGACAATTCTAAGAGATAAATTCGGGAGAAGATTCTTAAGAGTTGAGGGACGATATTATGAGACGATGGTAAAGAGACAGTGCTCACCTGATCGAGACGAGGATCATGGCGAATATGAGATATTTGCCCAGCAGCGGGACGACGAGAGACGTGGGCGGTATAATCTCTACCACTAGTAGGAAGAACACGTGGAGTGAGATGAGGATAGAGATGCTGAGGGTCACCTGTGGGAGAGATAGTGACGTTAGAGACACCTGGAGGTACTGAGACACACCTGTGGGAGAGATAGTGACGTTAGAGACACCTGGAGGTACTGAGACACACCTGTGGGAGAGATAGTGACGTGAGAGACACCTGGAGGTATTGAGACACACCTGTGGGAGAGATAGTGACGTTAGAGACACCTGGAGGTATTGAGACACACCTGTGGGAGAGATAGTGACGTTAGAGACACCTGGAGGTACTGAGACACACCTGTGGGAGTGATAGTGACGTTAGAGACACCTGGAGGTACTGAGACACACCTGTGGGAGAGATAGTGACGTTAGAGACACCTGGAGGTACTGAGACACCTGTGGGAGAGATAGTGACGTTAGAGACACCTGGAGGTACTGAGACACACCTGTGGGAGATAATAGTGACGTTAGAGACACCTGGAGTACTGAGACACACCTATGGGAGGAGAGATAGTGACGTTAGGGAGACACCTGGAGGCACTGAACACACCTGTGGGAGAGATAGTGACGTTAGAACACCTGGAGGTACTGGGAACACACCTGTGGGAGAGATAGTGACGTTAGAGACACCTGGAGGCACTGAGACACACCAATGGGAGAGATAGTGACGTTAGAGACACCTGGAGGTACCTAGGAGACACACCTGTGGGAGAGATAGTGACGTTAGAGACACCTGGAGGTACTGAGACACACTGTGGGAGAGATAGTGACGATTAGAGACACCTGGAGGTACTGGGGTACCTGTGGGAGAGATAGTGACGTTAGAGACACCTGGAGGTACTAGAGACACACCTGTGGGAGAGATATGAGTGACGTTAGAGACACCTGGAGCACTGAGACTTACACCTGTGGGAGTGATAGTGACGTTAGAGACACCTGGAGGTACTGAAGCAGAGACACACCTGTGGGAGAGATAGTGACGTTAGAGACACCTGGAGGTACTGGGGCTGTGGGAGAGATAGTGACGTTAGAGACACCTGGAGGTACTGAGACACACCTGGAATTGATAGTGACGTTAGAGACACCTGGAGGTACTGAGACACACCTGTGGGAGTGATAGTGACGTTAGAGACACCTGGAGGTACTGAGACACACCTGTGGGAGAGATAGTGACGATAAAAGATACCTAACTGTTGAACATGACTAAAAATAACAGGTAAAAATGAATGAAAGTGACAAATGATTATGAATAAGAAAACAAGAAGCCACCAAAAGACTGACAATGAATGAAAAAAAAAGTGAAAAAAAAACACAGTGAAAATGACTCAAAAATAAAACCCAAACACAAGAAGAAACTTACATATCACCCCTCCACCCCCTCCCCCAACCCCCCACCCTCCCCCCGAAAAACTGAATATAACGAACCCCTGAAAATGACTAACAAAAGAAAATGCTGTACTCACCTTCTCGCCAGAATCAGACGGCAGGTAGAAAGTTAGGACGGTGAGGAAGGAGATTCCCATACAGGGGATGATGAGGTTGACGGTATAAAATAGGGTCTTCCGTCTCATGGTGATGTTGAAGGTAATGTCTAGATACGGCTCATCACAACACGTGTAAAACTTCTCGTGCCTGTGAGGGGAGAGAAGGGGGGTGTGAGGGGTGGTGGTGGCTGTTGTGGTGGTGATGGTGGTGGTGGTTGTTGTGGTGGAGGTTGTTGTTGTGGAGGTTGTGGTGGTGGTTGTGGTGGTGGTTGTTGTTGTGGTGGTGATGATGGTTGTTGTGGAGGTTGTGGTGGTTGAGGTGGTTGTTGTGGTTGTGATGGTGGTTGTGGTGGTGGTTGTTGTTGTGGTGGTGATGATGGTTGTTGTGGAGGTTGTGGTGGTTGAGGTGGTTGTTGTGGTTGTGATGGTGGTTGTGGTGGTAGTAATACTTATACTTAACTAGTAATATACACCACCAAAACAATAATATGTATATAAGTGTATTATGTAACTTAAGACTACTGAACTTAATACACATCAAAGTACAACAATACATATACAAGTACATATAAATGGTACATATAATTACGGGTTAAGATGTTTGGTAACTGTGGTATATGTGTTACAATATATATTAGTCAAACTGTCTGTCTGTCTCTCTCTTTCTGTCTCTCTCTGTATGTCTGTCTGTTTGTCTGTCTGTCTCTCTCTGAATGTCTGTCTTCTCTGTATGTCTGTCTGTCTGTCTGTCTCTCTCTTTCTGTCTCTATCTGTCTGTCTGTCTGTCTGTCTTCTCCTTCTGTCTGTCTGTCTGTCTCTCTATCTGTCTTCTCTGTATGTCTGCTCTCTTTTCTGTCTTCTTCGTCTCTCTCTTTCTGTCTCTCTCTCTGTCTGTCTGCCTTCCGGTTCGTCTGTCTGTCTGTCTGTCTGTTCGTCTTCCTCTGTCTGCGTCTTCGTTCGTTCTTTACTGTCTTCTGTACGTTCGTTCTCTCTTCTTTCGTCTCTTTCTTGCTCCCCTCTTTCGCTCCCTCTCGTCTGGCTGTCTTCCGTCTGTCTGTCTGTCTGTCTGTTCGTCTGTCTGTTCGTCTTCTCCGTCTGTCTGTCTGTCTGTCTGTCTGTCTGTCTGTCTGTCTCTCTCTGTCTGTCTGTCTGTCTGTCTGTCTGTCTGTCCGTCTGTCTGTCTGTCTCCAAAGGTGAATCCAGAAATATCAAAAGTGTAGGATCTCAAAGAAGCTGTGGGTGGGGAGACAGAGCCATCACACACATGGGTATTTTGAGGTCAACAGTAATTACTTTTTACTGTACAAAAAATGCCTGAGTACAATTCTGCATTAAAGAAAAAAGTATTGGAATTTTCAGACCAAAAGGGGGGATCCGGACCCATATACCCCCCCCCTTGGATCCGCCCCCGGCTATATGTCCGTCTCTTTCTCCCTCCATGAATAAATATCCATATGGTAACTGGGGTCAGGAGTGTTGCCATTGTTATAAATCTATTTAACTCTTTTGTTGATTCTTTTTATTACTGTTTAGCTTTACAAATAATAGTTTGTTTGTAGCTGGATCTATCTCTTGTTTACATACACAAGTTGTTTATGTTTTAAGTAACATTATAATACACTTATTGGCATGTAAGGTAAAAAGGTATTGCCATAATTGTAATTTTATTTATAATTGTTGTATAATTTATTTTTATTTATTTTATTCAACTTAAAGATATGAATAAAGTACAGGTAAATTATATGTTACAGTGAATAATAAAAAAGTTATCTAAAAAAATTCTCACACAATTTATTCTATATAAGCAAACACCTGTGTGGCCACCGAGTCTCTGTCAGGGCGGGAGTGTTGCTTCTTTTTAATACTCTTTATAATCTCCTTTGTTGTGTTTGTGTGAGTGTCGTCTAAAAGTGTACCCAACAAACTGTACCTGTTGGTGTTTGTCTTAACCTCCTGTCATGTCACTGAAAAATGTTTATTGTGTGGAGTTATGTGTGTGTATGTGTGTGTGTGTGTGTGTGTGTGTGTGTGTGTGTGTGTGTGTGTGTGTGTGTGTGTGTGTGTGTGTGTGTGTGTGTGTGTGTGTGTGTGTGTGTGTGTGTATGTGTGTGTGTGTGTGTGTGTGTGTGTGTGTGTGTGTGTGTGTGTGTGTGTGTGTGTGTGTACGTGTATCAGCATGTATGTATGTCCTCTAGTACCTGTACATTTCAGTAAGAGTGTACACATGTATACACAGGGTTCACGGAGGCTGGACCCATCACGGCGGCGTGTTTACTGGGTCGTCGCTGGAAAAGATTGTTATCGTTACGAGTGTTTTGGTTATCGTTACTCTTGTCGTGTGTGAAGGGACGGTCTCTCTGATAGATAGATAGATAGATAGATAGATAGGTAGACAGACAATCAGACTGACAAACAAACAGACAGACAGAAAGACAGACAGACAGAAAGACAGACAGACAGATAGAAAGATAGAGATATAGGTTGGAGACAGACATATAGAGAGAGATAAAAGAATAAACTGAGAGAGGGAGAGAGGGAGAGAGAGAGAGAGAGAGAGAGAGAGAGAGAGAGAGAGAGAGAGAGAGAGAGAATTCTACCCTCTGGTAAATTATTGTAAAATGAAGCTTCTCACGTACTTTTCTTATGGCCTTAGGTTAAGCTCAAGGAGCAGAGTGAGGGGAGGGGAGGGGGGAGGAGGGGAAGGGGAGATGGAGGGGTGGAAGGGAGATGAAGGGTGAGGAGGGGTGGGGGGGAGAGGGGAGGGTGGGGAGAGGACAGGGGGGGAGAGGAGGTGGGGGGAGAGGGGAGGGTGGGGGGAGGGAGGGTGGGGGAGAGGGGAGGGGTGGGGAGAGGGGAGGTGAGGGAGGGAGGTGGGGAGAGGAGGGTGGGGGAGGGAGGGTGGGGAGAGGAGGGGTGGGGAGGGAGGGTGGGGGAGAGGGGAGGGTGGGGAGAGGGGAGGGTGAGAGGGGAAATGATGACAGATAATAATAATAATACAACAAACACGAGTAAACAAGCAAAACAAACAAACAAACACAAGACGAGGAAATTTAGAAAGAAAGTCAGTGAGGGAAAAAATGCGAAAAGCCCCGGAAAACTGAGCTAGACCGGAAAAAAGTCTCAGTGGTTCTTGGGAAAATAATGTTTATAGTTTGGGAAAATAGTTTATATGGTTAAGAGAAAATAGTGTTTATAGCTTGGGAAAATAATGCTTATAGTTAGGGAAAATTTATATAGTTAGGGAAATAATATTAATAGTAAGGAAAATAACGTTTATATTTAGGGGAAAATACTACTTATCTATCTAACTATTGATTCATCTATTTATCTATCAGTGGGAGTCATATCAGGAGGACTGTGTGTGTGTGTGAGGAGCAACGTCACACACACACACACACACACACACACACACACACACACACACACACACACACACACACACACACACACACACACACACACACACACACACACACCGTAATTAACCCTGACAACTCAACAGGGAGACATATTTTTTTCCTTCACTTCTCCCTTCAATTATCCACGTTTCCTATCTTAGGTGTGATGGCCCGCACCTCAATATCACCGCCACTGATGTTACCTGTCCCCATTATTCCCTCCTCCAGCCCACTCCCTCTACCACGATCGAACTAGTTGGTTGGTTTGGTTGGTTGCAATCAAACAATTTGCAACTGGAGGTGGGTGGGGGTGGATGGGTGAGGGGGGACTGTGGAAAATGACAATGAGTAAGGTTGAGAGAAGTGGTAGGTCTCTCTATGCGCCATAACACTAACAACATCATTGAAAACGGAATCTATATATATTTATTTTAAGGGGTAACTATAATATATTTTAAGTCTGGGTTTGAAGGACGTATTTATAAGGAATAATGACAGGTTATAACGCTTGTATTGCTTACTAGAGAAAACTAACGGGAGATATTTAGTAAAAGAAAGGCAATGACGTAGTTTATGCATTCAAAGAAAACGGAGACGAGTACCTTTAAAGGGGAACTATACAGTATTTTGGGCCGACATATACGTCAAACTATTATGTACTAAAGCTCTATTAAATTTATATGGTCTATTTACTCGGGCAAACTAACAACTGAAAACGTATTAATATTTCAAAGACTCGTTCCAGCAGTTCAGAGACTCGTTCAGATTCGTTCCAACAGTTCAGACACTCGTTCCAGCAGTTCCGACTTGTTCCAGCAGTTCCGACTCGTTCCAGCAGTTCCGACTTGTTCCAGCAGTTCAGACTCGTCCCAGCAGTTCAGAGACTCGTTCCAACACTTCCGAGGCTCATTCCAGCAGTTCAGACTCATTCCAGACGTTCAGACTCGTTCCAACAGTTCAGACTCGTTTCAACAGTTCAGAGATTCCTTCCAGCAGTTCAGAGACTCGTTCCAACAGTTCAGAGACTTGTTCCAGTAGTTCCGAGGCTCATTCCAGCAGTTCAGAATCGTTCCAGCAGTTCAGAGACTCGTCCCAACAGTTCAGATACATTTTAGCGGTTCAGACTCGTTCCAGTCGTTCAGAGATTCGATCCAGTCGTTTAGACTCGTTCCAGTACTTCAAAGATTCGTTCAGACTCGTTCCAACAGTTCAGAGACTCGTTCCAACAGTTCAAACTCGTTCCAACAGTTCAGAGACTCGTTCTAGCGGTTTAGACTCGTTCCAGCCGTTCAGAGACTCGTTCCAGCAGCCTTAAGACTCGGGTGTGTTATGTGACATATATTTACAGGTGTACAGTACAGTAACACCGTAATAACCGTCTGAGGTGTCACGCTGTTACAGGCTCAGGCAAGACTCCTCGATGGTACAAGGCTTTTGGACCCTGTGTGTGTGTGTGTGTGTGTGTGTGTGTGTGTGTGTGTGTGTGTATGCCTCCAACAACACCTCACAAACTTCCCTATTCTCGCCACAACTGAAATATTAAATGGTGAAATACCTATCTCCTGCCTACTATGTGTATGAGAGAGAGAGGGGGAGGCTGTCTGGCAGGCAGTAATGGCAGAGATCGTAGATTGGGTGCAAGCCGCCCACTTGAGTTTGAAAGAATTTCTTTGCATGATGCTATGTGATAGGGAGCGCCGTTTGGAGAGAGAGAGAGAGAGAGAGAGGAGAGAGAGAGAGAGAGAGAGAGAGAGAGAGAGAGATGTGGCACAACATATTATTAGGAAAGAAGCTTAATAGTACGATATGTTGAGTTGTATTATTAGGAAGATTTATCGTATCGTTGATGGAGTATCGTTCTGGGGGGGGAGAGGACGACGAGACGGGTAGAGAGGGAGCAGGTAATAAGAGATGAGAGAAGAGAAGAAAAGTTAAGAATGAGCGAGAGAGAGGGGAAGATTAGAACATTTAATAGGGAAACGGATTAACAGTACACAATGTTGAATATGGTATATGATTAGTTTAAATCGTACGTCTGGGGTTGATGTTAGCGTGGCGAGGTGGACGGGATGTGAGGAGGAGAGGTCAGGGGGATGGTCAGGAGAGGTCAGGGCGTAAGAGGAAGATCAAGAGAGGTCAGATTGTTAGGGGAGCGTCAGGAGAGGTCAAGACGCGCCAAAGTGAAAGTGGCGAAGTGTTCGTAACCAAACACAAAACATTATAGCAAAAATAAAATGAAACATTCAATAAACAAAGACAACAAAAGATTTTTCATGGCATCCATCACCGCCAAGAGTTTCAGTGGCACCTGACCTCCAGCAGTAAAGATTCACAGGCATCTTGAACCCCCGCCTGCCCTCTTATGATGATGTTATCATGGCCGTCGTCTTTTACGCAATTCAATGGCACTTGGCCTCTCTTGACAACATACTTCCCGTTACCGCAGTCAATTCAGAGGTATCCAGCCCCTCTCTTGAGCATCACCTCTGCCAGTTCAGTGGTATCCAGCCCCTCGTGACGACATACTCCATGGCACTTGTCTCTTTAAGTAATTCAGTAGAATCTGGCTCCCCCTAGAACGTCATATCGAGGAATTCAGTGGTACCCGACCCCTCGTGACAATATATTCCATGGCACTGGTCTCCCTACAGCTCCACTGATCGTATTATTATTCAGTGGCACTGGGCTCCCTGACGTGAATGATTCAGAGGTACCTGAGATCTCTCGTGACAATATTATTCAATGCTATCTTTCGCCCACAAAGAGAAAAATCAGTGATGTCTAACCTCTCATGACGACATATTCCAGGGCACCCGTCTCCCTGCAGCTCCACTGGTGATATTAACATATTCAAGGGCACCGGGATCCCTGGCGTGAATTATTCAGGGGTACCACACTCCCTCCTCCGCCTCCCTCACCTCAGAGTGTTAAGTTAAAGTTCCTTGGTCGACACTTAACAACACCTCGGCCGGTAAACAAGTCGTAAAAAGTATCTCGGCCACACTTAACACTACCACCAGCGTTCTAAAAAGTGTCCTTGACCTCGTCTGGGGCGTTCTTAAATGTCGTTTATAAGTTCTAAAGTAAGGAAGGCCTCGTGTGTGCATTTTAAAATATCGTTGGTGTTGTCTCCGCGTTCTAAAGTGAGACATTGGTGTTCTTAAGTAGTCTAGGAGCGTTCGTAAGTGTCATTTATAAGCTGTTAAGTACAATAGGTCTCGTCTTAGGGTTCTATGATGCTATATGGGCGTTCTAATAAACTGTAGTTCTCAATATACTAAAAGATTGTCCGGAAGTTCTGAAGTGACGTGCGGGAGTTCTGAAGTGACATGTGAGAGTTCTGAAGTGACGTGCGGGAGTTCTGAAGTGACATGTGAGAGTTCTGAAGTGACGTGTGAGAGTTCTGAAGTGACGCACAGTGCAGCTCCCTCAAGAGTTCTGTAGTGTTGTAGTGGTCGACTGAGAATACTGAAGTGTAATTTGTTTCACTTAGACGTTCTGTAGTGTCATACTTGCATCATTCTTAAGTCATATTTGTGTCATACTTGTGTCATATTCATTTCATACCTTTGTCCTGCTGGTGTCTTATTTATGTCATTCTTGTGTGATACTTGTGTCATATTTGTGTCATACTATGTTAAAAGAGTGTGATGGCCAACTGGATGCAGCGTTCACCTCCGATCATATTGGTCGGTGGTTCGATCTCAGGGCACCCCCGGGGCACCCAGCTGTGAAGGTGTAACTAACTTGACACATGAAGGAATGAAGGCGATCAGTTACAGTGCCGGTCATGATTCCACCCTTGTATACTGAAGGATAAGTATACAGTGTACCCTACCTACACCGTCTCTAATGAGTCGTGTGGGCTCGGCATCTCCTTGTCATACTCAATTAATGTCTGGACGCAGCTGAAGTCACGTGTAGGTTAGGTTAGGTTAGGGGTGCTGGTCTAAGTTTGGCGAGAGAAAGAGAGAGAGAGAGACCCTGCCTAACTTTAACTCTCTCTCCACCAACTCACTAATATAATTCAATTTTAAGAACGCCCGTTTTATAAAACATCACCAGGCCTTCATTCCCCCCACCCCCATCCCCAATCCCTCCCTTCCTTTCCCTTCCCCACGAAAGACTGGCGGAAGCTACTGCCAAACGAACGTTCTCTTGCGCTCAATAGTCTTCGACAACGCGGACATATCGATGGTGTGTAGTGCTGTGGGGAGGACGAGGCGAGGAAGTGAGCTGAGTGATGACTGGAAGGCGAGGATCGGCTGGAGGGTCCGACAGAAAATAATGTCAGAATACATTTACTAAAGTTACCCCCAATAACTCAGTGACAGAGAACGGAGGGGGCGCTGACGTCTTATCTATACTGTAGTTGCCATTATTTTTAGGGGCGGAAATGTGTGTTATTAAGATAGATACATAGATTGACACATACATACATACATACATACATACATACATACATACATAGACAGATAGACAGACAGACAGACAGACAGACAGACAGACAGATAGATAGATACATACATACATACATACATACATACATACATGCATACATACATACATACATACATAGACAGACAGACAGACAGACAGACAGATAGATAGATATTAAAGTTAGACGATAGAGATGAAAAGAGAAGGAGGGAAGAGTCAACACTCGTCTATGCTATTCCCTCACATCGTCCTCAACATGGCGGGTAAGACTCGAGCGTCACCTTGACCAGAATATTCTCACACTTGCCTTGGAGGTGTAGAGGGAGGGAGGGAAGGGCTCGAACCCACGTCCTTGATGTAGAGATCTGGCCGACACACCCCACAGCCCTTGTCCACGTGGGATATTAATATAAACATCTACCCTTACTTCCCCTCCCCCCGGCCTCTCTCTCTCTCTCTCTCTCTCCCTTCTCCCATTAACCTGGAAATATTAATTGGGGAAAGACAAGGTGAAAATTAGACATAGTTGGAAAGAAAATCGGACATGGAAAGAAAATCGGACTCGGAAAGAAAATCGGACATGGAAAGAAAATCGAACAGGGGATAATCTTAACACTGAGTTGAAAAATGGACACTGGACACGACAGGAAACGTAATTAGGGGATAAATGGGCACTGACCTGACCGCCGGCACCTCCAGAATGTCCCACTCCACCGACATGTAGAACTCAGACAGGTCGACCCCCAGTTCCACCACGTTAGTTCCTTCCTTCTCGTCCAGGTGGCGCAGGTCCACCTAAACCATCATAGAAAATGGGTTAATATTACAGAGAATGGAGACAGTACCAAGGAAAATGAAGAAAGTGCCAAGGAAAATGAAGAAAGTGCCAAGGAAAATGAATTATCATGATAGAAAATGAAGAAAGTGCCAAGGAAAATGGAGAAAGTGCCAAGGAAAATGAAGAAAGTGCCAAGGAAAATAAATTGGCAACAAAAAGAATGGGATATACTATATAGCTATAACCAATTAAATACATGGAATATGGACAAAGAAAATGGAAAATGGTTTAACCCTTTGAGTCCTGGAGGGTTAAATCGTCGTCATCTGAGGGTTAAATCATCGTCATCAAAGGGTTAAATCGTCGGCATCAAAAGGTTAAATCGTCGGCATCAAAGGGTTAAATCATCGGCATCAAAGGGTTAAATCATCGTCATCAAAGGGTTAAATCATCGTCATCAAAGGGTTAATGATAAAGTTTCACCATAAAGAGTAAACACTATGTTGTTCCCTCAAAGGTTCCTAAGTTGAGCCAAAGAATAATATCCAAGATAGCGGCTGCATGATACCGAGAGTCTATCTTGAGTACAGAATGAACGTGTGGACTCATTGATCGCGTGTGTGTGTGTGTATGTTTCTCTGTCTGGTTATTTATGTATGTATGTATGTATGTATCTCGTTTTGTATGTATGTATGTATATCGTTATGTATGTATGTAATCTCCATCTCTCTCTGTCTTTATTCCCCTTTCTTCCTCTTTTCTCTTATCTCCTCCCTCTCTTGTCATCTTCCCCTCTCTCTCTCTCTCTCTCTCTCATCTATCTCTTCCCAGCTATCTCTCTTTACACTTAAGAGATAAAGCCAATACCAGTTTCACTTAACACAGAGACGCCAAGGCTTGTAAACAATAGCGTTCGTGAGCCGAGAATCCTTAATCCGGATTCATGTTACTCGAAATCTGGATACCTCGCTAGACTTATTCACCTCTCTCTCTCTCTATCTCTCTCTCTCTATCTCTCGCTTATTCTTTCTCTCTATCTTTCTTTCGTCTCTTTTAGGAGTAATTTATCAACAAGAGACAAACAAGAGATATTTGGTTGGTGGTTACTAAGACAATATAGTAGGTTTAATTAATCCAATGTCCTTAACTATGTACTGTATGATAATTAGTCTAGATAGATCAACGATTTAAATAAGAGAGAGAGAGAGAGAGAGAGAGAGAGAGAGAGAGGGGAGGAGGGCGGACAAAAAAGGAAGATAAATAAAGAAAAGAGAGAGACTGAGATTGAACAGCAAAGGGAGAAAGAGAGAAAAAAGAAAGAAAAGAGAGTTAGAGAGAGAGAGAGAGAGACTGAACAAAAAAAAGGGGAGAGAGAAAGAGATAAAAAGGAAATAAAAGATAAATAAGGGAAGAGAGAGGGAGAGACTGAACAACAAAGGGAGAGATAAAGATAGACATAGCGAGAGAGTTAATAAGGGAGAGTGTGAGGCGACACTTCCTCCTCTGTTTCTCCTCCACCTAGTTCATTACACGGCCTCTCTCTCTCTCTCTCTCTCTCATCCTTTTTCTACTTGTTAGCATATTCTCTTTCTTTGTCTTTCTCACATATACAGGAGAGAGAGAGAGAGA